TTTTGGGGGGGAAAACCCCCCCAGGGGGAACTCCCTCCCTTTTTTTTTTTTTTGGGACCCACCCACTTATTTTCCCATTTGGGGGGGGGGTGGGGGGGGCCAAAAAAAAGGAACCGGGGGGGGGGGGGGGCCAGGGGGGGGAACCCCCCTTCTTCCCCCCTTTTTTCTCTTTTTTTTTTTACCCCCCTCTTCCCCCCCCCCCCCCCCGGGGGAGTCCCCTTTTTCTTCTTCTCCTTTCGGACATCAATCAGCCCCCCCCCCCCAACCCTGCCGTAGCTTTCGCCACCGCTCCTTCCCTTCCCTCCCTCCGACTCCGACTTGGTCCTCCTCCTGCTGCCCTGCTGCTGCTGCTCATGTTGCTCTCGCTCTCTTCTCTCCAGGGCCTACTCCCCCCCCCCCTCCTCCCCTTCATTCCCTGCTGCTACTGCTAACCGCGCGCGCTTCTTCACCCCTCGCTACTGCGATATTGTGTCCATTCGCGACAGCAGGAGGAGAAGGAGGAGCAGCAGGAGCAGGAGCACCTCTGCCCCTAATTGCTGCTGCTTGTAGGGTTAAGAGGTAGCTATTGCGTGCTCCTCGGCGATCGTTGCTCTCTGTGGGGACAGGGCGCGTGCTCGTGGCTGGTGCTGGTTTGTTATGCGGTGTGGATGTAGGGGACTGAGCGAGAGAGAGAGAGGGAGAGAGAGGTATGGAGGGAGGCGAATGTTAGATTTGAAGGAGGTGAAGCGTAGGGTTTTGTGCGGAGGAGGAGGAATGTGCGTGTGTGTGTGCGGGGGAATGAAAATGTGGTGGGCCGTGTGGAATTGGAAGGATACATTGTGAATTGGCTGCGCGCGGTCGGACGCGGGAAGCAGAGCTCGTTGGGGGAAGGTAGAAATCAGTGTGTAAGGTAGCTTTGGCTATTGGGGTAGAGAGGTGCATAGTTATTGATAGTGGTTATACTAGGGTGGCGTGCCCGGTAATTGAGAAAATTTGAGTTGGAAACAACGAACATGGTGCTCACGGAACTGCATTTTTAGCACGAAGAGAATGTAGCGTTGCCGAAAACTTCCGAAGTTCATTTGTAATGTACAGGACTGGACAAGAATTGATGGAGAACCGCATGTATTAGTCTGGAGAGCAAGGCTTTTTATGGAGGAATGCGCTTTTAAGGCTCAGGTCACTCAATTTCGAGTGAAATGTGGTGATGATCAACAGGGATAACAATGCGTTCGATGGTATTCTTCGCGCAATGTACCTGAAGCTTTGTTATTATGGCAGTTTTTTGGAGGCGTGTTAAACACGTGCCGTGTTGGTTATCGCGTGAGTTACCTGGGTGCAACCGATAATTGACTTGCATAGGCTGGTTAGGTTTCAGCTTGGACAGCGAGGCAAACGACTGTACCTGTTTGAATTTCTATTGGATGTCTGCCACCAATCAAGGATATCATAATTGAAGGCATGTATCTGTTTAGTGGCAATTTCCAGCTTTGCATTGCAGCTTTCATCTGATAGTGACTACTATTACATACACAAGAGGCATACTGCTGGATTTGAGACTGGAAGATTTATACCTGAGCGATTTGACGACGCATTTGAATCACATGGAGTTCAATTATCTTCAGGTAATACACTTCTCAGTAACGATTAGAAATTGACCATCAACATTTGCGAAATTTTACTCTTTCTCAGCTGGGTTGTCGAAATATGTAATTGCTACTCAAGGGGAAGTTACACTTAAAATATGTGAACAGTTTCGTTCTTAAAGTCTTGATGGGTATTTGGCTGGTGCTGTGTAATACGAAGGGGTCCAGAGTTCTATCTGTACTAGGCTGCAGAATATGGAGGGAGATGTTTAGGGAGGTTTAGAGAGAATGAATTCTGTTACGTTGCGGGAGATAAAATCAGAGCGTTGCGCTGGCCATTAAGAGATACAACTCTTGATCATTCAATGAGTGAAGGTCTGTGCAACGCTCGGTTCCTCTAGAATTTGTTTAGGGTTAGAGTTTGGTTGAACTTTGAAAGCACCTTGATAAAGGCAAGTGTTTCTTCAATTCTGAGCGGCTTTGTTTGTTTGTTTGTTTTTAAATTCTTTCTTTTCGGGACATCGTTCCATCATTGAGTATGTGTTTGATTGTTCCTTGAACACATCAATCAAAAGGATATATTACATTGAGATTGGCATTGACTTTAAATTAAAACTGAGCGATATAAATGTTACGAATGAGCAACTTTGACTCTTTTTACTGTTCAAGGAAACTTGATAAAATCCGTCTGATACTTGGTAATAAACTCTTGTTTTAGGAGTGTACCGTCTAAAGATGTTCGTAATTGGAGCTCGTCGTTTTTTTTGTTTGTTTGTTTGATTGTGTCTTTTTTATCTTGCGAATAAATGAAACTTCTGTGGAATAGTACTTGATGTTGCTCCCTGTGTTTTGCAGCGAGTGAAGGTTTACCGCCTCAATGACGAAGGTAAATGGGACGACAAAGGAACAGGCCATGTATCTGTTGAATATTTAGAGGTATTTTTCGTGCCTTTGTTTTTTCATGTTGCAGTGTTCCTAATGTAAGTACTTTACGGAATAATTAAAAAGCAAAATAAATTCATTGAAAATCGTAAAACGAAAATCAAGTAAGGCTTCCAAGAATTCAGGTCATTGGAAACACCATCTATCTACTCAGGTCTTCTAGTTTACGCTGGTGGATCTCATTTGGGGAGCAGGACAATGAGCTAACTTATGGGATTGCAATTGGCCACGCCCTCTCTCTAGCACGGTGGCAGAGTCCTGAAACTCAGGTGGCTTTTGTATCTATATTCAATTAGTGTTTTAGAGGAACTGATGTATTTGCCGCCACCACCGAAAACTTATCTACGACAGTAAGAGCAACTACTCGCTAAGATGTCGTGTGTTGACCACCAGTTTCGATCAGGTGTTGCTTTCCTTTGAGGTGCCCTGGTTGGATGCTAAGACTGGGGATGGTGGCAATCAGAATTTTTTGGGAAGCTTCACAAGCTTTTGGTTGAACTCTGTTCACGAACGTCAGATCTTGAGTTGAATACGTTCGTACTTCTATTTCTCTCTTTAGGAATTTTTCCTTGCTCAGTCTGGGGCTTGCGCTTTCTTAATGGGCGCAGTGTAGCCTTCGTTTATGTTGGTCTTTTGAGCCTCATCGGTCTGCTGTGTTTTCAAACAACCGAACCGCAGGACATGGTCTGAGGAAATGTGCAAGGCATAGGCAAACTGATTGTTACTCATGTCAGGGGCTCTGAACAAGTGCATAGACTACGCATATATGTTGTTGTCAGGCGCGAGGTTCGATCTAATGTGTGTTTCTTGGTATAATGGATCGATTTACAAAACCATTTGGGGTACATTACTCGAGATATGTTGATCAGTGTGTTTGTTGGTCGATGCAGCGCTCGGATGCCGTGGGTTTAGTGGTTATTGACGAGGAAGACAATCAAACTTTATTAGTCCATCGGATATCAGCGGATGACATTTACAGGCGACAAGAAGGTTTATTTCATCTTATTTTAGTTATTACTCTCTATCCTGCAACCTGATCAGCTGGATTGGTCTTAATCAGTGTGATGGTTGTTGCTTGTTCAGTTTCAGTGATAGTCCAATTTGTTAGTAGACGCAGGTGTTGATGCAGTTTGCGTGTGTGTTGCTAAATTGTATATGCGGTTGCTGTAGACACTATCATATCATGGACGGATCCAGAAGTGGCCACAGATTTGGCTCTCAGTTTCCAAGAGACCATGGGCTGTTCATTTATATGGTAAGATCATGGTACGACATAGTGTTCTTGGAGTGTTGCGGAGTCTGTTATAGCTGACATTCATATTTGGAGTCGGTTATGCTTCTTCATTTTCTCTATATTGAAAGTGTAGAAGTGTAGCTTTTGTGGGAATTGAACCATTTTATTTGCGCATCTGAAGCTGTTTGGTTTTGGATTTCAGAACACTTGATTTGTATGAGGTTTGATCCGTTGAGGATGTGAGTCTGAAATATAGTTCTGGCTTCACTGTAACGTATCGCCTGGGTGGGTTGTTTCTTGTGGCTTCTCAAGTTCATGTGGTCTTTCTATTGTTTGATAAACTAAATGGAAATGCTTTTTTGATGTATTTTTTCAAAGTGACACTGCTTTGTATTAAATATGAGCTGTACGTCGTTGATATTGCAGGGATCAAATATGCAGTGTGCAACGCTCAGTGCAATTAATGTCAGTGGGTGGTAAGTTTGCGATTGTTGCATTAGTGTGCTCTATCTTTACTTTACTATGAGAGAGGTGGATGCTGGAATCTACACTCTCTACAATGCCTTCGCTGTGGGTTGCTTTAAGACATCTGTCCACGCTCTCCGTCTGACGTTATGCCATTTATAGTGCATGCTCTCGATTTCTCAATAGCTTTTTTAATGAAGAAGTTTTTATGAATGATAGACCTTTTGATACTCTTCGAGCTTCTTTGAGACTTTTTATATTGGTATTATGCTGCAACCAGAGTTAATCATTGGGACTGACATACAGAGAGCTCAAGTGTCTATGTTGTTAGAGTTATGGTTAGTGTCTACAAATGTTATTGTTCACATTAGAACATTTCAGATTTCTAGTACTGAAATTACATTTAAGTTGCGGTACAAAAATTGTGTTAATCATGTTACAGGCATGGAGAGAAATACACGTCCAGTCGGTGATGATTTGGAACATTCTGGTACTTCGCAAGATGATGGTAAGCCAGTGATGGTGTCATTCAAAAAGCTTTTATTGCGGGCACACCCGATCAGGGTGCTGATCCCTTTGGATATAGCCAAAGCATCAACTTTGTATACAGACAATTCGACTTGTTTGCAAATGTAGAATATTCTCATGATGTCATTTGGTCACAGATGATGCATTTCGTGAAAGTGGAGGCCCTGAAGTTTTGGAACTTCCGCCAGCGGAGCTCTCCAACCTTCCTCTTATTGCTAAGGTGTGAAACAATTAGAGCAAAGAAATTCATACTTCTACTTCTTTTCATACTTCAGACCCACATAGTCTGCTCATATCTTAGGACATAGCCATATTGCTATACATGTGCCGCTTATATGCTTATTTCTTCTACTCTCATAAGTTATACCTTAGTTCAATTATTTGTTCAATTAGCATTCAGCGTGTTTCCTTATTTGCAGTTAGTTTTTTTTCTTACCTCCTTATAAGCGTCTTTTGCAATTTGAAACATAGTCTGGTTGCAATTTCTTTGGGCACAATCCTTTTTGATAGGAGTTAGATTTGTGAAACTCTAACTTGTAGATTGCTTCGCTGTTGGAGAGTAATGTTTTCATTCCAGATGCATGTATTGTTGCAGTTTCTAACTGTACCCCTGGTTTGTAATGCATTGCAGACGGTTGCAGAAGTTATGCCTTTCGATCGTGATAGAGTGGCCTCCATGATTGTTCGAGATGTAAGCAGAACAAGCGCGTCATTTAAGTTATAACTGTCATCTCATAAGTTTCAAAGAGAAATTGAATAATGTATTAGTGCCTCTTTTTGAATTCCTTCATCAAAGTACTACATGTGCCTTTGTAACTTTTATGCCGGAAGTGTGGACATTGATGAAGTGGGTTTGTGGCTCGTTATGTCCAGCAAAATTACATACCTAAACTTGTGCAGCTCTTTCGCACTTGCGAAGACCTCGAGAATCTTGAATGTTTGCGTTTGATATTCAAGATTGTGAAAGGAATCAGTGAGTTACAATATCACCTTCTAATTGACTCTTTTATGTTCTTTATTAGCTTTTCTCTTGTTTATTTCCGAGAATTTCGTGTTACATTCCGTTTTTATTTAACCATGGCGAGTACACACCATGATTTGACCAAGCCAAGGCACCAGTAGAATTTGATTATGAATCGACTAGCGTTAGGGATCGCAGGCAATCTTTATTAGATGGAACTGGTTTTCGATTTTCTTTTCTTTTGTGTATGTCGAAGTTTGTGCATTAGGTTATGGTGACTGTAGTCTATCTGTGGCTCTGTTTATGATTTTTGAAGAGTTTTCTCCAAGTGACAGGAGTATAGTTGCAGGGTTTCTGCAGTATTTAGGTGAAACCCCTTAATATCACATCGAGTTTGTTTTTATGTGTTCGATCAAGAATACCGAGTTATCTATTTCAGGCGATTTTTTTAATACTGTATTCTGTGTTATCTATTTGCAGTATCACTGAATGATGGACTCATATTTGATATTATCTTCAGTGACGACTACATAATGGATATTGTAGGAGCTTTGGAATGTGAGTACTCTCTTTCTATTTTTCTTATAGTCCTTATATTTAGGGCTTGTAGTGTCTTGTACGTTTTCCTCTTTCTTATTTTACCCACTTTAACATTCTCAGTTAGTTAGCGCGTGTTTTTTTCTTAATGATAGATTTTTATATTTTTGAATTTATTTGTTTATTTATTTCTTCGTGTTTAGACGATCCTGACGCTACAAATTTCCATAAGCACCGTACTTTCCTCAAGGATCAAGTTAATTTCAAGGAGGTAAGTAGGGTTGAAACATTCTCATTTTCATTATTGTACGTTTCTAGACGTGTTTTTGCGTTTGCCTAAGAGCCGCCAAGTTTCTTCTCTACTTGCCCTGAGGTTTTGAAAGTTTGGAATCTGCAGAAGTTTGTCATGAACAACTGTCGTAGAGGTTTTCATGATATGCAGCAAAGGTTAACATTGTCCCTAATGTCTTTATAGATAAGGATATGCTTCATTATGTATGTTTGTCAGCTCAATTTCAGGCTTCATAGTCTCATGTGGATGTTATTTGGATAAGCAGGCTGTTCCTATTCGTGATCCGGTAATCTTGTCGAAGATCCACCAGACATATCGTATCGGCTATATTAAGGTTTCACATATTGCATTACTGTAATTTAACTGCGGTGGTTTTTGGCCAGTGTGTTCTTGTAATATTGTGGATCCTTTCCGCCTAATGCTTTTGTTTACTTGTGATTCACAACTTTAAATGTATATGCTCTTGTATACAGGATGTAATATTACCTAGGGTGCTTGATGATGCAACTTATGCTACAATCAACTCAATCATGCTTTTCAACAATGTTTCGGTAAGTTTCCTTGTTGGAAGGTTATTTGGAAAACTCCTTACCATAATTATGTACTTCCTGTGGAATAGTACTTGTATATGCGTATTTGTACATTATGCTTCGGGTCATTTGGAACGAAGATGCTTTATATTACATATCCTTCATGCAGGTGGTGACTGCGCTTCACAACGATCCTGCTTTCCTGTCGGAGCTTTTCGCAAGACTCCGCGTTCCCGAAACTCCCGAGAGAAATAGGCGGGACTTGGTAAGTGTCATGACACAGAAGAACTAATTTCATTCTTTTTTGTATGCATTAATCTGTGAATACTAGTTAGTCTTCAGAAGAAAGCGATGGTGGTGATGTTAAGACACTTATAAGCTCTCTTTTTGGTATATGTGTAAATATCGTTGATGTAGGTTATTTTTGTTCAAGAGTTCTGCAACCTGAGCAAACATCTTCAACCGGTAATGCGAGGTCAGCTCTTCAGGTACGCTTTCACCTAACCGATCTTTGTATTCACATGACACTTGTTTTATTTGAGGCGTTCAGTGATTATTTTGGTTGAGTTCATGTCCTTCCTTTTTTTTCGGAGATCAATTTTGTGGTTAGTAAGAGCTAGATTGTTTATTTTTGGATTGTTGCCGTCCTTCTGAACCATTTTACTTATGTCAGACATTGTAATTGTTCCTCTTGGCAGTACACTTGTCAAAGAAGGACTATTTGATATTGTGAAGGACATACTCAAGGAGTCAGACGAGGTTGTCCGACTCAGTGGGTGAGCCTCTTCCATCATGACTTGTAATGTCACATGTTGTGGCATAGAATTGTTTTCGCTGCTCCTAGTAGCTACATTTGTAAGATAGTAGCTAGTTTGTTTAGGTGTCTCTCATTATCAGCTCTTTCTGTTTATATACTCAGAGACAGGCCAGATTCCAGTTGATTTTGCAGGCGAATTGATTTGCACGAGTTGGGGTGCTTTGGTGTCAGGTGTGATATTTTACTTGTAATTCTGAATCATGATCCCACATTACTACGGACGTTTCTCGTGCACCAATCGGATCTCACATTGTTCGGTGAACTGGTGGGCGGCATGTGCTTTGATGTTGATATGTGGTCTTGAATTTGACAGTTTCGTTGAAAGTTTCACTTCCAGCTCATTTCAGTCAGTGATTGAAGAGAATTGTTTTATTAACACTTTGGAAATGAATTACATTTTAAGTCGATGTCTTTCACTGGTTGACTTAAAATGTAATTCATCGACTTAAAATGTAATTCATCGACTTAAGATGTAAGTCTAGTCACTTAGGTTCATTGACAGTTGCAAATTTTAAGAGATTAATTTTTAAATCTTTATTCGTCGAATTCTTTAAAATAACCCTGGATTCATGACAGTTGACATGTCCTAAAATTTGTAGAGCAAAAATGTTGTATGCACATGTAGTGAATCGGGATGAGTTATTTCGAAATGTATTGGATCATGAGTTGATGACGACTAGAGATCTTGCACTAACATCTTGATCACATGTACAGGTAGAAGGGATGTTAACTCCTAGTGAAGATGGATTGCAAGCACAGCTGCTGGAAATTATGCGGATGCTCCTGGATTCAGAGACAATGGATTCAGTAAGTCTTTAAATTTGGTTCGGTTTGTAGTTGCCTGTGTAATTGCAGTTTTTGTTCCATCTTAGAATGCGTGGACTTAAGCTAAAACATTTTTTTGCCAGCAGTTTAGTTCACAAATGTTTAAGAAATTTGAGTTTGTATTAGTGTACAGTTTATAGTCATTGCTCCTTAACTGCTCTTTTTATGATGTGTGTACGAAATTCGATTTCTGATTGTAACAGTCACTGATTTATGCCATTCACGTGATTACAGCCGCTTGTTGATAAAAGCCTTTTTCTGGAGATATTTTATGAAAGATATATGGATCAAATGGTTCAGATTATTACAGACAGTTGTCCACCAGAATCATGCAGGACACAGTCCACTTATGGCTCCTCAACCGATTTTGGGAAACAGACCAGGCGGGCCGTTGCTCCAGAAATTCTTGGAAACATCTGCGAGCTCATGTGTTTTTGTGTCCAGCATCATCGGTTCAGAATCAAGTAAGTTTACTGCTATTTTCGAATTGTTTATTAAGCGTAGGGTTGGGGTGAAGATGGTTACATCAACCTATGAACTTTTTGGTATTATAGTAGGCAACAAACCTCAAAAGTCATGGCGGCTAGATCTCTTGTTCATTTTGATCCTTTGTACGTAGTTGATTAACTTTCATTTCTTCTGTATTTCACTTTTGATCGTAAGTTGAATTGTGATGCACATAGTTCTGTTCTTGTTAAAAAAATTTAAAAATTTTAATAAATTGTTTTTTTGTCACTTTACAGGTATTATGTGATGAGAAATCATGTTGTGGAGAAAATATTGAAGTTAACTCGTAGGAAGGAAAAGTACCTGGTTGTAGCTGCTGTACGATTTTTAAGGACATGTGTAGCTTTAAAGGTTAGTTCTGTTGGAAGTCTGCCTTTCGTAGGTGCATTATGAGTATTATCATCTAGAGCAAGTTCTTTTGAGTTAAAATGGATGGAGAGGTTAGTTGTGCCTAACAGTGATGAAAAATGAACATAAAATCATCGTTTTGAGGGACAAATTTTATTTATTTATTTGGGTTCAGTGTTCTCTGCAGGGTTTGATGTATGTGAAGTTTGTTAGCTCTAGTTTCCTTAATTGGTTGATTGCTGCTGAATAGCGTTTTGCAAAGACATCGATGCTTTGAATTAATCATGGAAAGGCTTCAACAAGGTAATGAACGCTGGTTATCTTGCTCCTGCTAAATGTCGTGATGAATCGCAGGACGAATTTTACTATCGGTACATTGTGAAGCACAATTTGTTTGAACCTATTATTGGAGCTTTCGTGGCGAATGGTAATCGCTACAATCTCCTCAATTCGACTGTATTGGAGCTCGTTGACTTCATCCGAAAGGTGTGTCCCCTGTTTACATCATTTCTTGGCTCTTATTCTCCTGGGTAGATAGTATGTAAATATTTGTTCTTGCTTTTTGATGCTATCAATTAACCATGTGTGCAGAATAGAGCTTTTCATTAGTCTTTCCCTGTAGCGCACGTTTGTGCAGCACACGGAGTTGGACCTCCTTTTGCATATGCGATTTAAGTGCAACAATTAAGATTTTTGGAGTTAGTCCTTCGTTCTAGGATAAAAACTGGCGTTTCTGTACTGTGGCGCCATCATAGGGCAACGATTTGATTAAGCATCAGTCGAATATTATTGCCTGTTTTTTGAACTGTATATGTATACTGTCAAACTACGATTCGGTGATTTGACTCATTTATAACGCAACTTGTGCAGGAGGGCATCAAAACTCTCATAGTACATTTGATCGAGAAATATTCTTTAAAATTTGAATCCATTGATTACGTCGACACATTTCGAGCCCTGAAAGTGAAATATGAACAGGTGAGTATCAAACTTGAGAAATTGGTTAGGTGCGAAAAATCACTAGAAGTAGTGCAAATAATATGATATGCAGGTACCGCATCCTGTCAAGAAGTTCCACACACGTGTCAAAATATTTTTCTAATTCTGTAAAGTGTTTGAATTCGTAGTGATTAATACTCAATCCTAGATACGTTTCGAATGGGCTTTCATCCATCATGGTACCAAGGTCAACATCAGATGAATGTGAAATGGTGGATCAAATGTACATTGATGCGAAGTACATTTTAAACTCAGTTTGATGGATTTGAAATTTAATGAAAAGCGTGAGTTTGGGCCTGGTATTACATGATATCCTCACATGAAGTTCAAGAATTTCAGCGACTTGAAATGTATTTACTTCTGCTGATCTTGATAAGAATGTGGGGCAGTCGAGTTAGCATGTGCAGGGAATGCTCAAGGCATTAACTCCGATTTCTTGTGTTTGCTTCAGCTTTTGGAGGGTCCTTCACCTGGCACAAGAGATGCAGGTGGTGCTGTTGCAAGCGGCGGCCCCGATCATGGTTCACGCTCATTTCGTGACAGGCACAATCAAGCAGGCTTTTCCGATAGCCGCAGGCGGAAGAACGAACGAGAATTGGACAAAGATGAAGAGGACTATTTCAACCAGGATAGGTAATTATCACTTTATCGAAGTTTCACTTATATGCAGAGATTTTTTTTGGTGTCGAGACTTCAGGTACTTTTGCATGGTGAATCATGGTCATGTGACTTGTAATTTCGTTTCTATCTGGACAGAGACGACGAAGAAGATACGGTAACTGCTCGAGTTAGCACAGCTTCACAACCTCAATTAATAAAGGCAGTCGTAATCAATGATGGCGATGTGGATGGTGCACCTTTCAGGTTACTACCTCTTGTTGTCACATTTCTTTTATTTCTTATGCTCGAGGTTATGGAGTCGTGTTAATGCCCTCCCACAGTTCGTTTCTTAATTTTAGCTGAATTTTGATTCGACAGGGGAAGCGCCATTGGGCTCGTAGATTATGAGGATGAGGATGAAGATATGCCTACAACAGTGAGCACCAATGGCAAGGATCCAGGTGAGGTGGTGGAGAGGTCAGAGAATCCACTTCCTGCTGCTCCACTTACAGACCCTGTTCGGCATGGAGTAGAAGATGGAACTCCAACCAAGCGAAAGACTCCTCTTGCTCCAACGTTGGAGGAAACTGATGCGACTGCGTCCAAGAGACTGAAACCTGAGGATGGTCATTCAGTTGACCTTCCCAATGCCCAGTCTAGTCGTTCTGGTATTGTTGACACCAGCAGAGTTGGGTCTTGTACAAAGAGTTCAGAAGAACTGAGCCTGTCAGAATCTACAACGCTGAGTCCTGAATCTATAGCTGAGCAGGATATTAGTTTGAATGTAGGCGAAGCAAAAGTTTTCGGCACATCTTCCGCAGATCTACCTGTATCAGGTGCAGAACATCAGCCATCCAGCTCGAATGAAGGGACTCCTGACACGAGCAGCGAACTTCGACATCAGGATTTGGACACAGCTCCTTCAGGCACCAGTGCTACGCTTCCTAGTGACCATCATCTGTCACATGAATCCGCAGAAACTGCGGCTGTATTAGCCGCTATTAAAGGTGAAAAAGTTGCTGCATCATTAAGTCCTGATGAGGACATGAGTTCTCACGATGTAACAGGAAATGTGGTGAGAGTGGAATGTGCAAACGGAGGCGAAAGCCTCAATAGATCATCGGAAGTGGGTTGTACTTTGGCCACAGGGAGTGGTCCTACCGAGAATGGAGTGGATTGTTGCTCAGTTGAAGATTGTAATGGATCTGCATCCGAGAGCTCAGAGTGTCTTGGGTCTCTACCCACAAAAGGTGTCAATGACGGCAACAAAATTGTTCCACAGCAGCACAATGTGAATTTAGGTAGTGAAGGCAACAAACTGACCAACTTAGGTACTGAAATAGAGCCTAACACTGTCCGATAGTATGATCTTATATTTTTGAAATTATTGACACTCCCTGGTTCTCATTGTTTCATGTTGCCACTGCCTAATCTGTCCGCTCCAGCTCAATTCAACTCACAGATACCACCTCTGGCTCTAAATCTAACCCGTAACAGGATCGGATGCTGGTGGTGCCGATGGGCATGATGAAATGTTTTTTCTTGAAAGAGGTGGACTTTGTTCTGGAGAATGCTGAGAGGCATCTTATATTGGCCATCGTAACATCTGCTGTTACCATTGCAAGGTTCGCTATCTTAGCTGAAATCGTTGTACCAGGCTATGTACTCTAGTACTAAGTGGAAATGACTAGGATTTTGTCTACTCGTGCCTTCGGTGGTTGACTACGAATGCCTTACAGGATATTAATAAACATGATTCATTCCATCCAATCCTTGGTTGGCTGAGATTGTCCGTCTTAGGTTCTGCATTTCGGTCGCGACTTGGCAGTAGCCAGAATCTTTTTTGTCTCCTTGTGTTTTTTACAGTTGGATGTAAATGCCCTTATCCCCATGTGTTGTTCAACTTGATTTGCCCCATACAACTTTTGTACTGCTGAGTCATCCATTGAGAAATGTCGTGTGGGTTTCTTAAACTATTATGGAGTGTTGCAGTCCGAACTGAGCAACATGCATAGGGTGCGGATTCTCATTCAGTGATATCAAGAAAGATTCCTGTTGATCAGGTTACTTTCAGAATCGCTTCACTCCTGTGCTGTGTTGCTGTAGCAGAGGACAATGTTATCCAGATGAAGTCAACTCCTAAATGTCTTCACATTCAATCACATTGTCCTTTAATTTCAAAAATTGCGAGTCCAATATGTTGCAATTGTTGACACATGTGTACGGTCAGGTATGCATTGAATTGTTACCAGTATTGTCATTCAAGTACTGCCTCATGAATGGAGCATGTCCAAAGTTTTCAAACAGATGAATTCTCACAAAGTTTTGGAGTTGAATTAATAATTTGAGCAAATGTTCCTCACAACCACTTGTAATCATATTTAATAATTCAGTTTCAATGAACGTGTGCATGAATGTAGATACATTATAATATTATTATTGAACTTTCATAAGCTTTGTCAAAGAGGTTCTCTAAGTTGAAGGACAAAATAAGAGAAAATATGATTTGCATGTTCATGGTATGCATGTTGGTTAAACTTTGTGTGTTCATTTGATTAATTCAAAATGAGAAAATTTGGTCCCACTGGACCATGACTCTATTGTCTTGTGTCTAAATTGTCAATTTATTTATAGAAATGTAACCTCGTATTTTACCTCTAATGTTTTCATTGTTTTTATTTTATTTTATTTTATTTTTAAATTATATATGCGGTGGTAGTAAAAAAGAAAATGTGGCCCAAATATTTATTATTCTTTTATTTGAGACATCCAACACGAAATGCCAAGGACATTAAAAAGATTCAACAATTTAAGAAATTAAAAACTAAAGTTCAGCAGAAGTTAATTTCTATCCACTACTCAATTGCAATATATTTCTATTCTCTTCACATGTTAAGGTATTTAATTATTATATAAAAGACCTATACCTTGATATAAATAAAGGTGATTTAAATTGTAATGATATACAAGTAATTAAAACAGAAGATAAAATTTATTTACATATATCTATTTATCTATATATATGTTTTTATGCATAAATACATCAATAAAAATTTGGTGATACAATTTCATAATATATCTGATACAAATTATTAGTAAAACAAATCCTAAAAAATATTAATTTATTCTATAAATTTACTTCTCTGTTTTTAAATACACATGAAGATTAATATCTACAATCATAATAATTAATCCAACAATTATATGCTTTGTAAGCAGTTTATTTTAGAAAAATTGTTTCAATGCACATTTTTTTGATTTTAATTAGTTTCATAATCTAAAAAATTACATTTAATCTTATTAATGTCTGTAAAAACAATATTTATAAAACTACACTTAAACTGTTAAAAAGAATCTATAGTTACCACTAGCCACTAAATTGTTAGAAATCACTATGGTTTCACTTTGTATATTTGCTAAAGTTATCATTTTAAAACTCTTCAAAGAAGTAAAATAGTTAACTTTATTTCTTTTGAAATACTTATTTTTTAAATTGAAATTTATTTTTTTACTAATATATAATTATATAAAATAAAATAATTTTTATCAGTTACATATATTTGTAAATTTATATTTATCTATTTATATAAATTTATAATTTTTATTATAAATATTTTATTTAATTATATTCATGCCTAACATTCCTTCTTATAATGGATAGAGTAAAAAAATCAATATGTACAAAACAATAAAAACTATCTAATAAATTAAATGATTAAAATTATAAAATTTTAAATTTTATTTTACATCTAAAACTACTAAGTTTAAAATTTGTATATAAAAAATTATTGTGATATTCTAATATGCATCATTAAGTAAGAATTCTGCTATTTGTAATAAATAAACTTATGCTTAAACAACTAATTGATATATTTTATTTTATTTAACTTAAAAATGAAATATACGCTTCATGTGATCAAATAAATATATAAAAAATGATTTTGTTCTACTAAAATCAAATCAAAATTCACACACAATTTGTAATTTTATCAAACTAGGTACAAGAGTTGCTAAACTTCTTAAAGATTGTCTACAAGATCTTATAATTGCTTATCAAAAAATACTCTCACCATACAACAAGAATCTTGCACTTGCTCCCTCTTCCATAGAAAGACCAAAATACAAGACATTAGTACACCAATCTCTACCTTAAATCAAATTCTATCTATCTAAGTAAAAACTAACCATTTAAATTTTTCATGTTCTATTCTAATGGGTGCTCATCTATTAAACATGTTTTATATTCAAATAATAAAATCATAACTGGAACCTTTTAACATATTCACTACATTGATTTTTTTAAGTAGTTATTGTCATCAAACTTAAGAAAAATGAAAACACAATATATGTTTTTACCATCATAACCTCACTTTCCCATGTTAATTTATTTTAAACTTCTTGATTTAAAAGTCTTATAAAAGTGGTTATAACTGTTTTTCTTCTCATTATGTGAGATATGATTACACTTTGATCACACTAAAAAATTTACTCACATGTATATATTTGAATATTTGTCTACTATAATATATATATATATATATATATAAACATCATTTTAAGCATATTCATATTTTTCAATTATAGTATTTCATTTATAAACTAAGATATCAATTTCATAATTCTGTTTTTGTTTCAAATATATAATCAGGTTTGGTCAAAATCATTCAAGAAAGAATATCAATGTATTGAGAAGAAAAGACTGAAGATTTTATTTGACACATCGAATTTTAAATTTTTCATAAATGTAGAAAATATCTATTTCTTAAAACATATTAGGCATGTAAAATGGTACAATGCCTTAAATGGTACAATGCCTTAAATCGTGTATTGAAACTTCTAATTCTTATACATTATTTATTTCTGAAAGTATTTTCCAAAAACCAACAACACCTTATAACCTTTCATTTTTTATGAAGTCTATTATTTGCACAATTATTTAATCAATCACAAGCAACAATCAATTCAACAAACTTTTTTAATAATGTTTGTTAAAATTACAAACCCAGAAAACCACTTTGTTTCAAACATACACATCACATGAACAAAATATTAATTCCACAATGTGATGTGCATTTAGCATGTTCACAATTGAAAATCCCAAAAATACTGAATGATCAATTGATTCTTTCAGCCTATTCTAATATTTAATGAAAAAAGAGATTAAACTTCCACAAAGCATTCTAAGTACAAGAAAATAAAATAACAGCTCTGAGCAAAAATTAAGAATCAAAAATCCAAATTCTTATCCATGTATCATGATTTGTATGCAAAACTCAAGGTTTTCTACACTTTTAAGAATAAAATGGTACTTTGATCAATTATATTTGTAAATGGAACTGAAATAATTGGCGTATGGCTCATCTTAATTTATTTTATTTTTTTAATTTCATGATAAAGAATATCTTCAATCGGCAATATTTTTTAAAATAAAAACATAAGTGAAAGCGTAAGTATTCTTCCAAAATCTCACCCATTTAGAGTCCTGATTACTATGGCTTTTCTTTTACAAAATGAGTAAAATTGATATAACTAAGAATAGTTACAAAATTAGTCATGAATAATATTAATAATAAAGTGTAATAAAAGTAAGTTACTCTATCGAAAAGAATGAAAAAAGAGAATTGAGCCATGTGGCTGCCATGACGGAAAAGACTCGTGCCCCCCTCCCCGGTGTGAACAGGACCCACCTCTTGTCTGGTTATTCGTGCCCAGATGCTCCCCCATCCACTAAAAAGTAGATTCGTCATTCATCCATTTGAATGTCCTTCGTCCATGGGTTCTGGATTGGCATGAAGAGCGTGCTTAGAAAGCCTGATTCATGTGGGGAATTCATTCATCGCATAAAATGGGAGAGAAACGGAAAAGTGAAAGTGAGCGGAAAAAGGCAAAGCAGTAGAGGGGTGGAGAAGGGGCCATTTATTTAGTTGGTTGTTTATTTATTCTTATTTTACCTCTGCTTTCCATTTGATTTCCACCATCCCAATAATAACGATAATAATCATGAAAACACTGACCAGCATCAAAGCCAGTGCACTTGAATGTCCCCTCCCAGCACAGAAATAAAACAAAAAAGCCAACCACGTCTTTTCACTTTTTCAATTCCCCTACGAGCGCGGTGAAGAGCCCCGACAAGCAGTACAATTTTTTTTTTTAAAAAAACAAATCAGGGAAAGAGGCCCCTAACACCGACCCAGCGATGAAGTGCCAGCTGGGTAAGACTGTATATCACTTTTGGCATCTGGTGGATGCTTTCCATCAAAATCGGGCATCCACCCATCCACCCATCCACACATCCACTCATTCTCATTCATCCACGTACCCACCCACTACACCAATCCAACCCTCTCTTGTATCTTCTTCCTCGAAGCTTCGAGGTCTAAAGCAGGGGGTCGGAACTTGGTAACGGATTTCGAGGTGACGTTCCCGATGAGGAATTGGGCTTGTAATACGGGGGTGCGAACTAGGAGAGAGGCTTCGGAGATAGAAAGAGAGTAAGAGAGATTGGTAACATATACATATATATATATATATATATAGAACACAATGCGGGGTGGGGGGAGACAAGGACCAGGTTCAAAGTAACATACACACAGGGGGGGGGAGACAAGGACCAGGTTCAAAGTCACACACACACACACACGCACACAATACATAAATATAAATACAGAGTTCTTATTCTTAAATCGAGGAATTAATTAGGAATTAGGGTATGAAAAGGGGGGAATGTGGTATCTCCAAAGGGACAGACAGAGTCCCTTGTTCAACCAACC